TTCATTTACGTCTAATGATGCGTTCAGGTGTAACGATACATTTAGGTGTTACAATGCGTTCAGGTGTAATGTTGCGTTCAGTTGTTACGATGTGTTTAGGTATAACGATGCGTTCAGGTGTAATGTTGTGTTCAGGTGTAATGTTGCGTTCAGGTGTAACGATGCGTTCAGGTGTAATGAGGCGTTCAGCTGTTACAAAGCGTTCTTGTGTTACGATGCATTCAGGTGTTACAATGCGTTTATGTTCAATGATGCGTTCAGGTGTTACGATGTGTTCACGTGTTACGATGCATTCAGGTGTCACGATTAATTTAGGTTCAATGATGCGTTCAGGTGTTACGATTTGTTTAGGAGTAACGATACGTTCAGGTGTAATGTTGCGTTCGGGTGTTACGATGCGTTCAAGTGTTACGATGTGTTCAGGTGTTACGATGCGTTCAGGCGTAATTATGAAAAAGAAACTAAGTGGAGGCCTTCGTGGTGCGTTCAGGTGCACTGATTACCTCCCTGCTCGTCCAGCATCACCACCGTGCGGATCCCCACATCTTTACTCTGCCGGGACACAAAGGGATCAAACTCAGCTGATGCGTTCGAGGGAAAGAATCTGTGTAGGAAATTTGCCCGCTGGGTCTCATGTGCTGTCTGAGAGTTTTTAAAGTGTGTTTCGGTACCTCCTCCACCAGCTGGATCATCCGGCGTGTGCTCTCCAGAGACTAAAGAGAAAAGAAACAAGTTTAAAAACGCTTTTCCATCCTCAGGCTATATTCTCACTGTTTGAAAATACTCATTTTTATTTTAAATAATTCATTTTAAATAAATAATTGTCTTTAATTTTCTTTCATTTTATTTGAATTAATTTAATTATTTATTTGTTTTCTTTCTTTTTTAAAAAAAAAAGTCAAATTAATTTTATCTGAATTAATTTAGTTTTTTTTTTTCTTTCAATTTATTTGAGTATAACTCATTATTATTATTTGAATTAATTTAGTTATTTATTTGTTTTCTTTCATTTTTATCTTTAATAGTCTAACTCATTATTTTTATTTGAATTAATTTAATTTAGTCATTTTCTTTTATTTTTATTTTTTTAAAGTATAAATCAGTTTTACTTGAATTAATTTGTTCTATTTTTATCATTTTATTATTGTTTTAATTATTTATTTTTTTATCTTAATTATTTATTTGATTTGATTTCAATGTTTTTAGGTATCATTTAAATTCCTGTCTTTCATTAGTGATTCATGTTTATTATTTGTGTTATTTTGTTATCATGCTCGGTGTTAAATAAATAAAGATTATTGTGGTAAAAATAGAGCGGGGGGGTGTTTCTCTGGGGGCCGGCTGCCTCCCAGGTGAGCCGGGCGTCGCTAGGGGCGTCGCTAAGGGGCGTTGCTATGGGCGTCGCTAGGGGGGCGTCTCCCATGAAGATGCTGAGACGCTGACCTCATCAAGTCTTCATGGATCATGGAGTCTGGGTTCAGGAAGAAGATGGATCTGGATCTGGATCTGGATCTGGATCTGGTTCTGGTTCTGGCTCTGGATCTGGTTCTGGTTCTGGATCTGGATCTGGATCTGGTTCTGGTTCTGGTTCTGGATCTGGTTTTGGTTCTGGTTTTGGTTCTGGTTCTGGTTCTGGATCTGGTTCTGGTTCTGGATCTGGATCTGGATCTGGTTCTGGATTTTGTTCTGGATCTGGTTCTGGTTCTGGTTCTGGATCTGGTTCTGGATCTTGATCTGGATCTGGATCTGGATCTGGATCTGGATCTGGTTCTGGTTCTGGTTCTGGTTCTGGCTGGCTCTTGATCTGGTTCTGGCTCTGATTCTGGTTCTGGATCTGGATCTGGTTCTGGGTCTGGTTCTGGTTCTGGTTCTGGTTCTGGTTCTGGTTCTGGTTCTGGTTCTGGATCTTGAGCTGGTTCTGGTTCTGGTTCTGGATCTTGAGCTGGTTCTGGTTCTGGTTCTGAACAGGGATCGGTTCCCTCAGACAAGAAACCGATTCTTAATTCTTAATTTGTTTTTGAATTAACGGGAAAAGTTTGGACTCAAATTGATTCTGTTTTTATTTCCCAAAA